CAAACTTCCGATCATCAACAGTACCTGTTGCTTGGGAAAAACCGAATGATCTAATCCAAACATTTAACTTCTAAACTAGTTGAGTGTGTTGGAAAAAAGATTCTGCAATTACTGATGCTGAAATTATAGATTCATAGGTTGTCAAGCGCAGAACTCGCTGAAGAATGATGTAATGTTGCATTGTTAATAGGGGAGAGTGAAATGTGATAAATAAATAACCAGGCATTTAATAGAATAATAACGGATCAAAATAGACAAAAAATCTGAAATCATTTGTTACTGAGACTCACCGAGTTACATGCAAGAATAGAGCAATAAAGTGCAATTACGATTATCGCGTCAATAAAGAACAAAACCTTATAAATCAGCATGATTTAATTGCAAAATCATTTTACCGCAGCTCAGGGGATGCTTACTACAAGAAAGGAACTAGGTTATTTATCACTGGTAATCATGATTGCACACGAAACCAGTGTGCTCTTCGGTTTGCTTGGTTACCATGACAATATCAGATTGATGTGGACCTCATTTTGCCGACACAGCAGGGACGTTTGACACTTGATTTCTATTACCTCTTCAAATCTGAGCGACCATCCATTCGGAGTTGTCTAAATAAACCGAACCGAAGCCTCATGATCGGTTTAGTGATCAGTGTACAGTTGATGGTTTGTCAAAGCAATTGGGCGATTGGTTAAATAACTCCGAATGGATGGCCACTCAGATTTGTAGAGGTAACGGCAACTAAGCACCAAAAACCCCCGCTGTGTCAGCAGAAGGATGTTTATACATCAGTCTAGTATTGATGCAGTAACCACGTGAGCAGAAGAGTGAATTCATATTGTGTCCAAGTATCATCACCGTTAACATGTAAACTATTTCTTTTCTTGCAGTAGGCGCCAACTAATTTATTTATATATATATATATATATAACACTGGCTTGCGGGCAAGCATTGTTCCAACTCCACAGAAATAATAACAATAGCAATAACGGCAGGGGGTGGGATACAGAACACAGTAAAAAAAATAGAACTACTAAAGTAAAAAATACAGATAAACAGGATAACAATGTTTTGTGTTTCGCCGTACACTTTTTGAAATTTATGTATGTGTACTTCAATTTGTCTATTTTATGGGGAACGCGATTTCAATAGGCAAACTGTACAGCATTCGTGACACTGACTCCAATTCTGGGCCATATCACTCAGCGTCTCTAACCAACGATAACCCTCATCCCTTGGGCCCCAACCTGGAAGGCGGACTGCACAAACTGAAGCCAAAGTTGGGGCCAGCTTCTTCTTCTACGCCATGTCATGGTTTGACCGCCGCGGCACTTCTCCCACTCTTGCCCGGTACGTGCAAAGAGAGCACGGAAAGGTAGTCAATAGGCAGGCATACGCAATACGTGACTAAACCATCGGAGGCGACGTAGAGCGATTACGTCTGTTGGAGAGCAACTATGCACACCTAACACACGATGATAAACCTCGTCATTGCTTACCCGATGTTCCCACCAAACACGAGCAATGCTTCGGAGATATCGATGGTCGCATACAGAAAGTCGATAATCATCCTCCGCGCGGCGAGCTAAGATGCGGCGAAATCTTTCTGGAATTAAATCATGCTCAACTGCAGTATTATGTTCTTTATTCGAGATTATTTCGAGGAATGTTTGTTTTAATTTNTTAATTTTCGCTTATCACTTCACTGAAGCCTAATGCGTTTTTCCCCAATATTCAGTAAGTCGGATTCTATTTTGCCACATGGCACGTAAAACTTTTGCGAGCATTGCGAATATCGATTCTATTGTATTCTGGCAGCCTGCGTTTGAAAAACAGTGAAGCAGAATGTGATTCATTTACTTTGGTCTAAGTCAGCACCCTGTTAATTACGCAACCGGAAATCGACATTTTAGAGCTAATCCTATCTCGGATGTTATGTGGAAAAACTGTACCTTACAATACGGTCTTCTTGAAGTTGTTAGTTAAACGATATGGCAATCACAATAAATCTACTGACTTGATGGTCTGTAAAAGTTCATGGAGCTGTCCAACTTTCTCGAGTGGGTGTGTGCATGCGGAAGTGCTCTTCTTGAATTTGCTATTTTTATCCTGACAGCAAATCGCGATTTGCGGAATCCTAGTTACGTAAGAACTCCTCGTTTAGACCACTGAAAATTCACGCTCGCACACATTGTCTAACTGGAATGTCGGAATGAAGTATGATCGAGCCACATTGCACATATTTCAGATTTATGAACTCCGTAAACCGTTGGCTTTGTGGTTTGCATACAGTTGTGAAATCTATCACAGAAGCTTCCACCAAATTTCCTCTGTGTGTGTTGTCTTGTAAATATCACTGTGTTGATGACTGGAAAGATAAGAGTGGGATTAGGAACGTCGTTTTCTTTCTTCTCCTTTAGACCGTTGTGGACTAATCTGAGCATTGGACAACTCAGCCTCTTCTGTCACATGTCCCACACCCCAGCTGACCACGGTCACCTTCGAGACTGACTTGGCAAAAAACCAATCTGCTGGGATTGCGTAAGAACTCATCTTCGGGGGAAAACGACCCCATTAAAAGACCATGTATTCAAGCATATATCTGCAATTCCACTGTGTTATCCCAGCATCGTGTTCGTTGTTCTTTGTTGAGATTGGTCCTCAACTGCCTGCGCATATTTTCAGGACTGAAAAGATTGTAGTGCTTACTGATCCTCCCCACACATTTTACAGTTAGTATTCTGTGCTCTGCTCTTTTCTGGGCATCCAGTACAAAGTGCCGAATCGAAACGGAATGCAAAGACGTCTCACTTTGGTGCCGTATCTGTTTTGTGACGCAAAGAAAACGTACGACGATTAGTTGATGCCTGTTTAGCTAATGATTTATCTATCTTTCAATAAGTGAGCTGACACATGTATGGCCTTCCTCCTTTCTTGACAGTAGACTTCGACAGACAACTCCTTGTGTGATTCCGTGATTCCTGACTAGTAATTCCTGTCCATTCTGAATAATACAGTGCAAATGCATCCATGCAAGGGCTTACAACGTTAGGAGAACAAATGTACACTAGAACTGGAAAAAGCGGCTTTAATCCTCATCGTATTTCACATATCACACACACTTTTGAGAATTTGCGCAAAGAATATAAATTTTACAATTGTATTTGCCTGGTCGGAAATACGATCTTGTTAGTGCGCACCGCGTTTCCGACCTTGACGATTGGTGGGTGCAAACTACGGAAAAACGCAATGACAAGAAAATAAAAACAGCAAAAACAGCAGAGAGAAACGGAGATGAAAACTGACACAAACGAAAAAAGTGTCAGCAACAGGCGGGCTCACTTGGTGAGAACACAACTTCCGTGCACGCATGGTTTGGCACAGAGTCTTGCCCCAGTCAACTCGTGACATGTCCACAGACCAGGGTTCGGTTGGCAATAGGTATCGCAGTGCATCCCGTAGAAGTCTGTATCACACTCGATCCGAATCACCACGTCAACACTGCAGACATGAGAGCACAGTTTGAAATGAGGAATGAGGACTTGTCGAAGACACGCGCTCGTCAACGCACACACATTTCGAATAGTATCAGTGACATTAGAAAGAAGCACTTCAAACTAAAGACGAGTCCGGAGGTTTAAGCTGCGGTTGGCTATCAGCAGGGCAGTCTTTAGTAGAAAAACGGGCAAGATGAGAAAATGAACAGATATCAACATC